TACTACCTACTACTACTACTACTACTACTACTACTACTACTACTACTACTACGACTACTACTACTACTACTACTACTGACTACTACTACTACTACTACTACTACTACTACTACTACTACTACTACTACTACTACTACTACTACTACTACGACTACTACTACTACTACTACTACTACTACTACTACTACGACTACTACACTACTACGACTACTACTACTACTTGATACTACTACTACTACTACTACTACTACTACTACTACTACTACTACTACTACTACTACGACTACTAACGACTACTACTACTACGACTACGACTACTACTACTACTACTACTACTACCTACTACTACTACTAGTACTAGTACTAGTACTAGTACTAGTACTACTACTACTACTACTACTACTACTACTACTACTACTACTACTACTACTACGACTACTACTACTATTATCCTGGCGAAGGACCCAACCATATGCAGTTGTGAGTATCGCAATTGTGAGTATGTTCTTCGGTGGCGCTCCCTATGGGGCCACGAACCGTATGAGGGGTGTGCCGAAATGTGGCGGGGTACACAACGCAAAGGAATACGATAGATCTGATTACGAAAGAAAGAACGCGGGTGAGTCATAGCGCGAGGGAATCTGAATATGGATGGGTCTGCGCGCGAATGAATATATTTGCATGAATGCGACCATGGAAACGCCCAGTGTAAGTGTATATGAATGTGAATGGTTCGAGCATGCCTGTCCGAACACACGCGGCACTGGGCGTGGCCGCCGCAGGCAGCTTCCGCGGGAACCCCGACGGCAGCGTCCGCACGTCGCGACGCCCATGTCGGCACGCCTCTTGCGAGGATCGCGCCCGCTTTCGGCTCTTCTTTTCCTTCCTCTTTGCCCGCGCACTCCAAAATCCAAGGCTGCGGGCGCAGCGCAGCGCGGAGTCCCCGCGACGCGCGCTGGTCGCCCCGGGCGGGGTCCCAGCGACGCGCGCGGGTCGTCCGCTGCGCGAAGCAGAGAGAGCTGACTAGCTAACTGGCTGGCTGATAGCGGGCAAGTCTCTGACCGCTGGGCAGAGCGACGACGGGCGAACGAGGCGCCGGGCCCCCCGCAGCACGGAGTTCCCGCGACGCGCGCTGGTCGCCCCGAGAGGGTCCCAGCGACGCGCGCGGGTCGTCCGCGGCGCGAGGCCAAACAATTAGTCGGGCAGTCGAGAGAAGGCGCGGCTCGGGGGAGACGCTCCTCAGGTCAGGCCTCGCGGATGAACTCGGTGAAGCCGAGCTCCCTGGCGAGGGCCGTCGCTTCCCTCCTGCGCCGCTTCGTGCGCGCAGCAAACTGCTCCAGCTGCTTCCGCAAGCCCTGCGGCGGCCCTGCCAGGAAGAACTCGATGCGCGGCGCCCGCATGAGCAGGAGGTCCTCGTGGCGCGTGGCGCGCGAGAGCAGCACGTAGAGCTCCAGCCACCAGTCGTCGTCCTCCTTCTTGCCGTTCCCTACCTCGTGGCGGCCGCAATCCAGGATCACGCCTGGGCGACGTCGACCGAGGGAGCAGCGCGCCGGGCAGCCGACGGCCCAGGGCGAGAGTCCACAGGACCGAGAGATGGTCTGGCCGCGGACTGCTCGCGCCCCGGAGGTCTGGCCGCCCCCGGAGCGCCGTTCCCCCGCCCCGTCGCCTTCGCGCATGGTGCGCCCCTGGCACGCCACCGTGGTGATGACCCTGCCGTGCGAGAAATGCGGGGGGGGTGCCGAAATGGGTGGGGGTGACGCATGCGGGCGGCGGCACTGAGGCCTTCGGTGGAGCTCCCTATGGAGCCACGAAGCGTGTGAGGGGTGTGCCGAAATGGGTGTGGGGGACGCATGCGGCCGCGGGCACTGGGGCCTTCGGTGGAGCTCCCTATGGAGCCACGAAACGTGTGAGGGGTGTGCCGAAATGGGTGTGTGCCGAAATGGGTGTGGGGGACGCATGCGGCCGCGGGCACTGGGGCCTTCGGTGGAGCTCCCTATGGAGCCACGAAACGTGTGAGGGGTGTGCCGAAA